GTTTAATCTTTTGATAACTGATTTCAGTTCATTTAGTTATTCACTAATCCTGATTCCTTATGAGTACATTCACGTTTAGGTTGATTACTAACTTCACTGATTTACATTTTTAGTGCTCTTTGACATTCACATATCTATCTTTTTATAGAATTTTACTACAGTAATTAAGTGACAACTTTATAATTAACTTTGTTAATTTACCTCAATGGGCTACAACCATTTTCGCCCTTCATTTTGATAAAACTTTTACTTAGTGCAGTGATTTCTCCCATACGCAGTATAGGGTTTTATTACTTTGTTCTGTTTGCACCACTTTTTCCAGTACACGTAGCGTTCACTTGAAAGCTAATTCACATAATTGCTACACATAGTACATGCAGGTACTCACAGTGCCAGGTTTATTTTTGTTTCTTTGATTTGCATCAGACGCAATCTTCGTGTGTCTACCCTCACGTGCTTGTGTCTGCTCCTCTCCTGAGCTTCGCCATTGGTCTTTGCTACCTGGGGGACCTCTATGCTTCGCTGCCTGATGCTGATGCTGCCTGGAGCTCCGGTTCGTGGGTCTGGACATCCTGATCCTGCTGCGCTGATGGGTCTCCTAAAAGTCACCTGGGACCTGATCCTGCCTGCTGGTCGTCCTTCTACATCCTGCTCTGTGCAGTGTGGGAACACAGAGCTCCTTTATCCTTTTGCAATCCACCTTTGGGATTACTAATTCATAACGATCAATTGCTGTTGAAATAGCTACCTTCACAAGGATATACAAATACGATGATCTACAAATTGTTGACTTAACCAACTTCCTCAGGATATGATCCTGACTATTCACCGGCATGGGGAATGCTTCCTCACTCCTTTTGCCTTCATCTGGAACATTGAGTCTGCCTTTGCTAAAAGGAGTCCTTCATGCCTTCTGAATGTTCAACGTCAGGTGGTTTCTGTGACCACCACTGACCATGGGGGGTCTGTAGCGACATGAATGGCCTCATTTGTGACCCAAAGGTCACACTTCCTCAGCTGGGTCAAGCTGTCCTGGCTGTACTTCTATCTACAGATTATCCATCACAGGAGACTGAATGTCGGTCCACCACCCCTTTAATCTGACTGCTGTTCCATCCGCAAGAAGAAGGACACTTCAAGATTTAAAAGAATCATTTTTAATAAACTCTTTTCACTGTCTACTACAAGGTTCATAAATAATCATCAAGGCTCATTATAAATGTATTTAATTACTGAAATGAATTATTATTCTCTGGTTAATAATTATTATTATTTATGATAATCAGTAATGTTTAACAGTGACAAGAAGATCACGTGCACTTATACACACCATGCAGGACACAGTAATCAGGTTAAGGTTAACTGCACTCACATGTCTTTGTTCCATAACACCAGAGCTTTCTGTCTCTGGGAGGGCGTGTTCCGAGGTATGTTAAGTCCCACCCTCTAACATGTCAAAATCTAATTCGTTAGAATAAGATTACCGGCCGTCTCTTAAAACCTAACTCCTCAGTTCAAGTTCAGTTCTTGAGCTCACCAAATTCTCTCCGTGGCTCGAGAGTCCAGAGAATCGGCCGTTCCAAACCTCTACTAAAGCTTTTCTGTCATGCCGATAGAATTGCTTCAACAGAAACACCATCTGCAACAAGCTGATGCAAAACTCCTTCAGAGTTAATTTTAAGACGCAATACCATCCACCTGTGTGCCTGCGGCAACTCTAGGACCAGAGAGTCTGTACCACTGGTCTACCCTACCGGACCGGGTTCCCAGAGGCTGACAACAACCTCCCTTGACCTCCGGATCTGAACTGAGGGTCGTCTGAACGGTGAGGTAGAACACAAGATTGCGTCTGAATGCCACTTTTATTAAGAAATAATTTAGCTTAACTGCAAACCAAATTCTTTCACCCAGAACTCGTTTTGGATATATATATATATATATATATATATATATATATATATATATATATATATATATATATATATATATATATATATATATATATGTATATATCAACTTAAAACTTAAACCATCCTGACAAGGACTCTAACCATTCCAACTATTATTCAACTGGGACGCTCAGTCCACGGACAAGCCCTTTGAAGAAAAACACCTGGTTGCCTCGGCTTCTGCCATAGTTAGAGCTGCATAAATTGGTACTACATGTTCATTTTTCCTCATTCACAGAAAGTCGTGTGCAACCTGAAGCTTTGCATTAATCTATGTTTCAAGAAACTCTACTGATGTTTTCTGTATATTATATGGTTTTGCTAACCCTTCCCAATCTCTTTACAGGAACTGCTATAAATAGTAGATTTGTTGCATCACAGCAAATTCACTTCAGTATGTATGAAATAGCTCTTCTTGAGTTTATAATGGTATGGATTTAGCTGATTTCCATTATCTCACTTGTATCTCTGTACACTGCTGTTTGATCATCTTAGGTGGTTCTTGCTGTGTTGTATCTCTAATCCCATGCTGTAGTTCCTTTTTAAAACACAGAGCAGTTTTGTTTACCTGTTTTCTCGCTACGTTTCGTAGTGGGTGTTATTTTACTCCAACAATCAGAACGGCTGCGTGCATGCACGTCTATCGGAATGATGATCGGACTAAGCCACCTCTCTCAATCGGATTGAATTTTCATTCCGATCGGGCTGAATCGGATCAGAACTTTCCGATTGACATGTTTACATGCAAAATTTTTGATAAATAAAATGATAAATGACCCGCACCTGCATAGCACCTCTCAGAGTAAGGACTCCAAAGCGCTTTACACTACAGTGTATCATTCATCCATTCACACACTGATGGTGATGAGCTACAATGTAGCCACAGCTTCCCTGGGGCACACTTTTGATCTGATTGGGTGTTCAATCAGATGAATTGTGTCCATGTAAATGTGTCTACTGTGCTCTAATTAAATTGGGTTTTATAGCTCAACATCAGACAACTTCAGTTCCCTTTGAACAACAATATGCTTCACTATACATTAAACATCCATACATGTGATGTATGGAAGTTTGTGTTCAGGCACCTGTAGTGCAGGGTTGACGCAATGACGTCAGGAGAGCACGAGAGCAGTTCGAGAGGATGAGACTTGTCTGTAAATGGTAAATGGTAAATGGCCTGTATTTGATATAGCGCCTTCTAGAGTCCTGGAACCCCCCAAGGCGCTTTACAACACAATCAGTCATTCACCCATTCACACACACATTCACACACTGGTGGGGATGAGCTACAATGTAGCCACAGCTGCCCTGGGGCGCACTGACAGAGGCGAGGCTGCCGAGCACAGGCGCCACCAGTCCCTCCGACCACCACCAGCAGGCAACGTGGGTTAAGTGTCTTGCCCAAGGACACAACGACAGCGACAGACTGAGCGGGACTCGAACCTGCAACCTTCCGATTACGGGGCGAGCACTTAACTCCTGTGCCACCATCGCCCCAAGATGTAAGATGCACAAGGTTGGTAAATAAAATGGCTGTTTCACAAAGTTATTGCTCGTCCTGCATCATCGATAGTACAACATAAACGGGTTTGTTTACGCTGCCGTTACTCACTTAGCCTGGCGGGTGACCAAGCAAAGCCTGGGGGAAGCCCTGATAAAGCATTTGCGGTCCTGGCTAGCATCGGCTAGCACTTTGGCTAAGGTAGCTATCGATCTAACGTCTGGTTAATCCTAACTTACAAAGTATCATTTGGCTTTACTTAAAGATTTTAACTCAGGGTTTCGAAGAAAATATCAAATAAATGATCAATACTCACTTTGATCCACAGTACACAGGAGAAATATTAATGTGGCTGACAGGTGGTGCTACACAGACTCATGTGGGGAAAAACGTAAAGTCACGGGGTCTACGTCACTTCCGCTTCTGGGTCACAAACTGTCATTCAGGAAAACACGTGTTTCTCAATGCCAAGAAACCTCGCCTTGATGTCTTGGCCCTGCCCCGGTTGCCTAGGAGATACGTCATCAGGAGCCGCCAAGGCATGTTCCAATGTTCATGTTCTACCAAGGCATGTGTTCTCTGTTTGTTAGCCATTTAGCTAGATGAGCGAGGATGCACGGGAGGTGTCTTGTAGCCTAGCCTTGGTCAAAAATTACCCAGAATACAGTGCAGTATTTTCAAAAGGACGGCGGATCAGAAGCCGGCAGCTACTTCGGGGGCAAATTTTAAGTTTAAAAGTAAGTCAGCTAATTTAAAATGGTTTTTTTATTTAGATCCAAAGAAGTTATCTATGGTTGGTTAATTGCTTAGTATTTGCAGCTTTGGTGGATAGTAACTTGCTTACATGTTTAATTTAACAAATATATACACAATTGTAAAAGTAAAAGGCTCGTTAGATATTTATATTGAAACTAATACGTATAATGTATAACGTTATCTCCTACGTTACATGACCGCCGTGGAAGCCACGGTCACGCGATGCAAGTCTGTTCCATTTAACCGTTTTCTTTCACCAAGGAAGGACCGTGTCCTCGTAAGCAAGCCGCCTGGCTTTGTAAGACATTGCCTTGCAGTGCCAGGCACCTTGGCAGTGAGAAACACCCACTGTCCACTGGGAGAGGACTTCTCTGAAGTCCCACCCACCCAAGAGGGTTGGGTCAAAACCTCAGGCAGTGCAAAGGAGAAATCCAGGAAGTGAAACTGCAAATCTGAGCAGTGAGAATAAAACAAAGGAAAATGAAAACAAAAATACATAGAGTCAAACAAAAAAGGACATTACTCATTTTAATAAGTTGATTCCAATAATAAGTTTTACTTTTGAAATGATTTTTTGCAATATATATATTCTCTCAAATTCTAAATTTTTGTTTGATCTTCAAAATGTTCAAAATGTTTTTTCTTGATCCTATTGGCACAAATCTAATCCCATAACCGGGGCCTTCCTTGGACATCCTACGATTCCAAATGACGTACCAGGACTCCAGCGTCAGGAGCCGCCAGGCCAAAAGGTGGCGGTAATTCACCTCATTTTGTTGCATTCCGCCATCGAACAGGAAGAAGTCTCGCGAGACTTGCTTGCTACCTTTGTGTGTGGTGTGTCGTCTGAACGTGCAGATTCTAATTTCGTGTCCCGAACTCTCCAGGCTCGGTACCGGACACGCACCAGAGCACCCCGACCCCAGACCGGCACACCTAAGTCGCTTCGACAGGTAAGACCGGCTACGTCAGCAAGCTTTGTTTTAGCTCCCGCCATGAGCCTCGAAGCGCGCCATGTTGAGCTCCTCGTGCTCGCCCACCCATGTCAGATACGATTCGGTTCCCTCTTGTCCGTTTAAACGGTACCGGCTTGAATAGAATCGGATCTGCTGCTGGTAACGGTCCAGGTTCCATCAGGATCCGGAACCAGGCAGCTGGGCCTGCTGCTGGTACCGGTCCAGAGGGATTGGTACTGAAACGGCACACAGGTGAAGCCCAAAGGCTTTCCGTTTAATTATGTTGGTCTAAGGTTCGGTCTGGAAGCCCAGTAGCACTCCTGCCGGTACCAGTTGTCAAGTGCGTAGGAACGAGTTCAGTGTTGGGAGGGGACGCAGCAGGGGCGTGGGAAGCATAAAGGATGTGGGGGGCACGCGGTGGTGGGTTGTTGCACCTATTTTACCCACAGGAGTAACACCTTAACAACTTGTTCACTACTGGGGTCGGGCGGTGGGCGGAGCCGTTCAGGAGGCGGTTTGTTTGTTTGTTTGTTTGTTTGCCTGTGAGTTAGTTTGTTCATGACAGATATTTTACAGGTTGTTTATAGATTAAAACCCTCATTTTCAAGGGAGTCCTGGCCCAGAGGCAGCAACAGTTACTAAGTTACAGTTACACAGCCCTGTTGTGTACTAGATTACAGAAGACCGTTACAACCCAGAGAAGCATCTCGAGGTTCTCAGTCTGGTTTTAAATGTATTCAAGGAGATAAACTGGGTTAGTTTGCAGTGTTCCTGCAGCCTGGTCAGGGGTGGACCGTTAAAGCGCCCGAGCGCCAATGGCGCTAAATTTTCTCGTCGGGCGGTAAATACTTGACGACTTACCGCCCGGGTGGCGCCCAAGCCTTATTTGTCATTTACACACCGGCTTTCACCTGCATCATGGCCCCGCCCTGTAGGAAGCCGCCGTTTTCGTTTCGCGCGCGTGAACCTGCGCGCCTCTAGCCACGTTCTGCACTTGTACGATTCGTGCACGTACTGCACATTCTAGTTCTAGTCACGTGAACTATAAGTTCACTATTAAAGACGAAGTGGAACCACGCTAGAAACACACAAGCACGCAGGAAGATCGCGCCACCACAGGGATGGGATTTCTTGATGAAATCTCCGGCAAAACGCTTTAAAACTGGTGAGGAGAAGCGAGACAGTTCGAAACGGTATGAAGCAGAGAAGCGTGTGCGTAGGAGGAACGATTCTTGGCGGTTTAAAGAAGACGGGAGGCGCAGAGAATGGCCGTGTTCGAGTTGAGCAGCGCATCGCCTGGAAAACAGGCGAGAGAAGACGGAAGCAGCGGGGGGAGTGGCTGAAAGCCGGCGTTTCGCCGGGGACACACCGGCCGCGGAAGCGCCCGAAGCGCCGAGAAGCGAATTGCTCACGAAATTCGGCCGTTGCTCGCCGCTCCTCAGTTCAGATCAGACGCGCCCCATTTGAGGCGCGCCTCGGCTCAGCTGTAGTTTTTCTTTTAACTACCTGTCCTCCATTTCCTCTCTCTTTTCTCAGCTCTTTTCCTCTACGTGTGTGTGTGTGTGTGAGAGAGAGAGAGAGAGAGAGAGAGAGAGAGAGAGAGAGAGAGAGAGAGAGAGAGAGAGAGAGAGAGAGAGAGAGAGAGAGAGAGAGAGATAGAGAGAGACTGTGGTGTGAACCAGTTGTTTCTGCCAGTTGAATCTCTTGGATGTCCCTACATGTGTAGCTCGGGGGTGACGATGGCTGAAGATATCGCGTCAGCGTTCACATTTGTTTAATTTTCAATTTTAATTCTGGTGCCTGTTAGCAGCTGAAACACATCCTCACGTGCTTGTGGATATCATATATTGTATATGAAGACCTGACTGTAATAATTAAAGGTTATCAGCTGTAGGTTTAGTGTGCTCATAGGAAACGTGACAAAAGAAAACAAAACACATTTCTCTTTATGGCCTATATGTGATTTATAGAATACATGTGAACAACTAACATTTCATGTTCTACCACCGAATGTTTGGATCAAAATATGAACCAATCAGATCTTAGATCAGGTGAGAGCCAGGCGTTTCCCGTCATCCTCTAGGTTTAGCAGCCGAGGGAGAGCAACTGCAGCGCCTTGCTCCAAAATCTGCAGCCGCCTTGATCTCACGAGTTTATCGTTGCCTACGTATGCATGACGTCAGAGCAAGTCGGCGTCAATTCGGACACGAATCTAACCGGCATGCACCGCTCGCCGTTCACCGCTGGTCTAGTCTGCACAGAACTGGCTCATCTGGAACACAGCCGATGGCTCGAGTACAGCAAAGCGGAGTTGGTGATGTACTGCGTTGTATGCCGGAAGTATGCGACGACAAAATCGTGTTTTGTTGAGGGAACAAACAAATTCAAACTTGAATACGTTATTATGTTTGTGAATGTGTACAAAATAAAGGTTTATTACATTTAAAACAGTTCTGTTATTATTTTGACTCGTTTTGGCAGCTGACCAGTGGGGCCGGTAAATATTCAGAGTTACCGGCCCGGCTGGCTGGTTGGTTTTGAAGTGAATGTCCACCCCTGCTGCTCCATGCAGAAGGAGCAGAGGGAACCAAAGCCCTCCAGCCCGGTTCGGTGTGAGGAAACAGACCACAGTAACAGCTGATGGTTGTACGCAGACTGTGAGAAGTTACACTTCTCTGTGAGATTAAGTTACAGATGTAGGAGGTAGTCATCCAAGCATGGCGAATAAATGAAGGTGTACCAATGTCCCCGGGTTAGGGTCATCCCACTGGAGAAGAAGAAGAAGAAGAAGAAGATATCATTTCTAAAGCGCCTCTCAAGATAAAAACCACAAGGCGCTTCACAAAAACAAAAAATGTAAAAATATAAAAAGCATTTAGAATTTTTTTTTAAATATATTTAAAAAGAGCAAAAAATAGACAATTGTGATTAAAACATGTAAAGAGAGAGAGAGAGTGAACAGGAAAGAGGGAAACCAGTGGATCCTGAGGAAGGTGGGATAGGTGGGGAGAGCAGAATAAAGAGAGAGAGGTGAAGAAGGTCATACAAAAGCCAGCTTGAACAGGTGAGTCTTCAGCTGCTTTTTAAAGGAGACCCCTGAGTCCACTGATCTCAGGCTCAGGGGGATATACTATAATATTATAATTATTATAAGTAGCAATAAACTGTATTAGCAGCAAAACAAACTGCATGCATGCAGTTTCTCAGTGACTTTAAAACATCACCTCCACCATGAAACTTTTTCTGATGCTCCAAATACAGAAAAACATCCCTTACCAGGGTCTTTTAATAAATAAAAAGATCAGAAAATAAGTTTAAATGTTAAATAATAGTTAACATCACTTAAATGCAACAGCAAATTCTCTCATTGCTACTGAGCATTTTCTCCACTTATGTGGTTCTGATATAAAGCTGTTGCTGTAACTGGGAAGTGAACTGTGCTGGGCCAAGCTAGGAGAATATTAAGATTTTCTGAGAGAAAAACAATCGTCTACCTTTCAGAAGAGGAACTGGCAAAAAAACTACACGGAAAATATGTGAAAACGTTTGTTTTTAACCCCAAATTGAACAAGTTTACCTAGATCTTAAAAAGCAGCTCAGATGATGAAACTGCAACTTCTGATAACAAGCTAACAAACTGAACTAGCTCCTCTAAGCTAACCGGCTAGCAGAGCTTCTGACTGACAGTTTATGTGCAGCAGCAAATCAACTATCCTGATTAACAAGGTTATAAAAGCTCATAAATGAAAAATCACTTTGATGTGTGGGGGAACTTTTCCAGGCCCTCTTTAGCAGGGAGGGACTGGGAGGAGAGTGCTGTAGCCTTTTAGCTGGAAGCTAACCGGAGACTGGGGCTAACGGTGGGTTGGTTCACTGGCACGTGTCGGAGTCAGCCCGGTTATTATCAGCTGCTTAACGACACCGAGCGGACTCACGTTCACGTTTGAAAGCAGCGCTGAATCCAGAAACATCAGCACAAAGTGCGTTCGTTGCTCTGAGCCAGCATGACGAACAAGGGAACGGCGCCGCTAATGTTCGGGTGTTGCTTTCCACCCATCCTAAGAGTCTACGTAGGGGCGGGCGTATTACGTGAACGGACCCATCTGATTGGCTGCATATCAGAAGGGCTACATTTGATTGGTCAAATCATACGTCCACGTAAAAAACAGAGCTGGTTTACTAAAAGCTGACGTATGACACGGATGGAAATGTTGAACCAAACATTTATCGCCATTTTTGACGTGCTTTGCGACGGGCCTATCGCACGTCCTGTTATCGTGATGATGATGATTTTTCGATATATTGTGCAGCCCTAGTCACAAGGCTCTGGTTCACAGTCAGGAAAGTCCAGTCTGGCCTGCCGGACTCGTCCTCTGGTTAGTTCTGCACCCTGAGAGTCTGGTAACTCGGGCAGAGCGGCACATGAGGGGCGGGGCTAGCCAGCTCAAAACCAAAAGACGGAAATGCCGACTGTACGGCGTGATGCTGTAGTTTTTACGCTGTAGTAAAAAATGGCGTCTGGCGACAGCGTAGACGTCTTTTATTGTTTTAGAAGAAAGGCTTTCAGCGCTTCTACTTGTTGTTTTAAATGGTAAATGGCCTGTATTTGATATAGCGCCTTCTAGAGTCCTGGAACCCCCCAAGGCGCTTTACAACACAATCAGTCATTCACCCATTTACACACTGATGGCGATGAGCTACAATGTAGCCACAGCTGAATAACAAAAACACAAATGTGACCTGTCTGTGTGTGTGAGCGCGATGAGAAGTGTCTGAACTGGTAAAAACGAGAAGGAACGTCAGAATTTACCTGAACATTAAATCAGAAATAAACTTCATTGAGATTAAAAATCTCTTCTCCAAGAGTACCTCGACAAGGAATGGCAGCAAACACACGTCTGGACACACACTAGCAAAATACTGGGGGGGGGGGGGGGGGTGCAGGGGCGTAGCAAACTTTTCTAGAGTGGGGGTGTTGACATTTATACATCCAGCTTTTATTTATCGTTTTGGTGATTTGAAACTATTTTGCGGGCAAAAGGTACTTAACCTGTATAACCATGTACGAATGATACTGTTCACTCAGGGGTCAGAGGTCAGAGGTCATCTCTAGCTCATCTACCTACGGTTCCTGTTTTTCTTCCAGAAGCAGCAAACGACCCGACTGGTTTCCATGGCACTGAGACGTGGACACATCAGGTATCTGAAGGTAGGTGCATCAGACGTTGCCATGACAACAAGTAAAACTTTAAGCGTTCCAGACCTGCAAACCCCGCCCCCCTCCCCGACCCTACCGTGTCCGCTGACACGAACGGCGCAACGAAACTAGAGCCCTCCATCAGCTGATGCTGGTGAGAAACAGCAGCTGAACATGTCCAAACCCCCCCCCCCCCCCCCCCCCTCTCACTGAGGAGCGCTGCGGGACAGAGCGCGCGACCCCCCACCTCCGATGGCTGAATTTGCCAGGCTTAACTCATTTTCTGGGGGAAACCCTGGGCTTGGAGAATTCCCACATTCCTGAGAGGTCCCTGGGATTTATATGTGAGCACCACACCACCCGTTCGAGACCCAACTGAGACCACCCCCGACCACCCAGGCTAACGTGCGAGCGCCATATTGGTTCTGTACCAGAACCTGTGATTGTCCAGCTCTCTGGAGACACGGGTGTCCTTCGACCTTCTGGAAGAGTGGCTCTTTTCTTGCGACGCTCCTGAACAAGCCACACGTGGAGCGCTCGTGGAGTTGTCACGTGACCAGAATGACCACTCGTAGCTCAGGATAGCCTGGCCTCTATGGAGGCGGGGCCAGAGAGATCCATCTTTACCAATGGTATTCCCCGCTGTGCCCTCCACCCCCCACACTGGGCTAACATCGCCCTCTCGAGTCTTAAAATGGACATGTCCTTACGCTTCACGTGGTTTTATTGAAGCTCTCGACTCGACCTTTCTTCCTGCAGCAGCTTGCAGACGCGTACCTGCCACCAAAGTGCTTCACAGATAAAAACACGACACATAAAATCAGCTAAAAATGAACAAAACAACCAAATAAAAAGATGTAAAGTGAGACTGAAACAGCGACATCGTCACTCACACAGATTTAAAAGCCAGCTCGTACAAGCGGGTCTTCAGCTTGGACGTAAACACCGCTACAGAAGAGGACTGCTGACTGTGTGATGGAAGCTCATCCGTAGTTTCAGAGCTGCAACTGAAAAGGCTCTGTCACCCCGCATCCTCAGCCGGGACCGGGGACCACGAGCAAGGACAAGTCCTCTGACCGGAGAGCCCGAGAGGGAACATACGAGTGCAGCGTGTCTGCCAGATACGCCGCAGCCAAACCATTTAGAGGTTTAAAAACCAGTAAAAGCATCAGGAACCGATGCAGAGCTGCCAACACGGGCCTAGCATGGTCCAACTTTCTCCCAGCAGCATGTTGGACACGCTCTGCATGATCTGGCTCATTTCTGTGTCATTTATTAACAATCATTAAACCAAAATACCTGTTCAGACTGATTTCTTACGTGTGTGTGTGTGTGTGTGTGTGTGTGTGTGTGTGTGTGTGTGTGTGTGTCCAGGTGTGTGAGGTCCAGCCGTCTCAGAGTGACCTCCAGCTCGCCTCCAAAGGAGCTGCTGTGAAGGTGACTGTCTTCTGGTTCTGCTCTGTGATCTTTGAATGTCTGCAGTCAGCTGGACCTCTTACATCACATGTGATGTCATCACAGGAGCTGTATGATAACGACTTCACGGAGCAGATGATGGAGGAGGAGGACTCTAGGACCAACCTGATCGTGAACTACCTGCCTCAGAGCATGAGTCAGGACGAGCTGCGCAGTCTGTTCAGCAGCGTCGGAGTCGTGGAGTCTGCCAAACTGATCCGGGATAAAGTAGCAGGTAAGTCCAGCTGTTCTCCAGCTGTTCTCCAGCTGTTCTCCAGCTGTTCTCCAGCTGTTCTGCAGCTGTTCTGCAGCTGTTCTCCAGCTGTTCTCCAACTGTTCTGCAGCTGTTCTCCAGCTGTTCTCCAACTGTTCTGCAGCTGTTCTCCAGCTGTTCTCCAGCTGTTCTGCAGCTGTTCTCCAGCTGTTCTCCAGCTGTTCTGCAGCTGTTCTGCAGCTGTTCTCCAGCTGTTCTCCAGCTGTTCTGCTTTATTACTGCTGAGCGACGCAACCCAACCGCTGCAGCATACCTGCCTTAATAAAGACGTCCCACTGATGCTTCACTTTGTGTTAAACAGTACTAATGCCAGTACTACCATGCTAGCATTAGTACTGTTCCATCAGTATTGATACCAGTACTACAGTGTTTTGGCACTAGTATCAGTACTAATGGTCCAACAGTACTACGTGTGCTTCTACACCACTTCACATGCAGCAGTGCTGCCCAAAGTGCTTACCATGAAAATGTAAACTAGATAAAACGACAGCAGCCAATCAGAAACATGAATATGCACAAAATCCAAATCAGACACGCACACGGACCACCCTGCCAACGCAAGGTCTTAAGAGTACAAATGAACAGCCACAGATGATGCCTGCTTGATGGTGCCGCCACTGAGAAACACCTGAAACCTCCTCTCTGTAGCCCCGCCCTACGGACATTCCATCTAAGCCCTTTTCAGAGTGACATCCTGGAATATGTGCGGACAGTTCAGTCCGGTTTTAACCAGAACGGTTTCAGACACACCACTTTTGTACCGGAACTGGTCCTTTCGGCTGCGTTCACACAGCAGGGAAACGTTCCAGATGTCTGGGGGGGGTAAGCATAATTCTGCGCACACGAAGACGCATAAGAGACCTGGATGATGAAGCTCAATGGTTAAAGGAATCACTGAAGCGGTGTGAAGCGCTCCGTCGCGCGTCTAGGCGGTACCGTAGGAGGCGAGCTGCCGTGGTTCGCCGCATGCTACAGCAGCGGGTTATCTAGGTGCGCACAGCGTCCCCCGGTCCCCTCCCCCCGTCCGGAACTCGACCTCACCAGTCTGAAGCAGCCACCCTGCCCGTGACAAGTCCGGACCTGTTACTAGGGCTTCGTCCGGTTTAATTACGGAACACGTTATCCGGATGTTTGTATTCAGACACAAAGGACGTACGGACAGAGTCCGGAACATTTCCGTTTTCATGGCCCGTCTGAAGGGGGCTTCAGTGGGTCAGCTGACCTCAGTCCACCAGCTGGAACATCATGCACTAGAAGCTCAGAGATAGACCAGCGCAAGGCCATTTAAACGTTTGTAAGCCAATTATGACTCACCTTCATATTAATATTGTTTTATTAGACGCACTCCACTCTGAACTGCACCAATCCAGCAGCTGCTGCATCTTAACCACTAGTATTAAAGGTGAATACACCAATATTTGCACAAGAATAATTTACGTTTTAAACTCTCAGTGACACACTTTGCAAGGGGGGGGGGGGGGGGTGGCATTTAATTTTTCTTGGCGTCTGGAAAAACATCTCCTTCTGCCCCCTTTATTTAGGTCCAAGACCATTAGTGGGCTGGCCCTGTTAAACACCTTCTACACCCCTGCTCAGTAGACTTAATGAAGTATTTTTAAGCCAGTATAAAAATGACTGAAACACAAATGTACATATTTGGCATTATTGACCAATATCTTTGATTTAAATTATTGTTAAGAACATCAAGATGCATTACAGTGAACATTATAATAAAGTACATGTTTCTAGTGCAGAGAGGAGACGACCCATAGAAGCACTGGTCTGATCTCATTTCAGAGAAAACTAGAACAGGTCAGATGCACCTGATAAATAAAATTACTAACATAAACTCAGGAATCTGTTTCTTTGCTTCATTGTTCTGGTGCTGATAACATCACTCATGCAGATCAAAGATACACAGATGAACGCACCTCTTATTTATTAGTTGGACATTAGTGGGTGTGGTTTACATCAATATATTATTTTACATCTGAAGCTGATATGGATTGATCAGAAGTTGCTATGTGTGTTTATTAGAAAACTACAGAGCAGCCTCAGAACTGAGATGAAATATGTTTGATCACAATAGTAAAGGAACTGTTACAGAACCAGCTGTTCAGTAAAATCAGAACATTAATGTGTAAGTGCATGAATTAATGCATCTGAACTCATGCAGTAGGAATTAGGAGATATGAAATACTGGAACATTTTATTTTAGTTTCATTAAACTGATTTTTTCTTAACGTTGTTTTCCCACACACACTTAAACAAAACTATGTTGATTAAGGTGTGTGTGTGTGTGTGTGTGTGTGTGTGTGTGTGTGTGTGTGTGTGTGTGTGTGTGTGTGTGTGTGTGTGTGTGTGTGTGTGTGTGTGTGTGTGTGTGTGAGAGAGGGGGGGAGTGAGTGAGGGAGCGAGCGAGGGAGCGAGCGAGGGAGTGAGCGAGGGAGTGAGTGAGTGAGTGAGTGAGTGAGCGAGCGGAAGGATGGATATTGGAATTTTAAGACTTTTTTTTTAGGATTCTGAAATCTTTATCCTGTTTTCTGTGAATTGGAATACTTTTGAATGTTTGTATTTTACTGGTTAATAACTTCCAAAACGACTTAAATGTCGGAAACAAATCGTGATTTTGCAATAACGAAATATTAATTTTCCATGTCACTCTTCCTAATTGGAATCAGAAGAATCAATGCTCTTCTGATCTCTAAGGTCCACCAGTACTCATTTCTACTCTACTCTACATGATTCAGCTGGTTTTCCATGGCAACTGAGAAACTGCCCTAGTGGGGGGGCTCTTGGTTGCGGGGGGGGGGGGGCTTGGAGCCACATCAAAGCAGGTGCTGACAGAGGGGCAGCCGCCTGGTGCACATTGCTGATGGAAAGGACCTAAAGGGCCCGTTCAGTGCGAGTCACCCCGAGCACGGCTGCCCGTGTGCGTGGGAAGAGGTTCCACGTGAACGCTGGTAAAATCACGAACGGTGAAGGGTTCTGACTGTCGCCGATGGTCAAGAGATTTGTCCAGTCGCCCAACCTTAGTTGGATCATCATTGCTAATACTAGAACTACCCTGCTGTAGTACTACTATTAGTACTGTAGGACCATTAGTACTAGAAGCAGACCTCCAGAATGTGCTTGATGACTCGTCATCAGCTTTTCTCAGCAAGCGTTTCTGACTGTTGTTGGTTCGTTAACATTTTGTTTGTTTTATTACATGTTTTTACTTTTAATATCGGTTGGAAAATCAGAAAATTTCAACTTTAGATTTTTTTTTTTAACTTTTTAATTTTTACGAACTGTAGATTTTTTTTATTTTTTAAATCTTGGGCGACTTTTTTCCACTGTCCCATTATCTTTTTATCCAGCTTTAATGGCGGCGGCTGGGTGTTTAATCTGATTAGACTGATTTTGTCATATTTTGAACTGTAAATGAAAACATTTTTATTGTGCTGTTTACTTTTTATTCTATGTATTTAAATGTTTGTTTATTGTGTTTTTGACCAGATTTTTTTTCAGGGTTTGTGACTGTAACGCTTTTCTCACATGTAGAAAGATCTGAACTTGGTTCTGAACAAGTCAAGAAAACAGGTTTTTGGTTCTGCTCAACACCTTGATCCGATACAAACCCAGCTTCCCTCCCTGGCGCTAAGGGGTCGGCCATTTTAATGGCTTTGAAGCAGAACTTTCGTCACCTGAAACCGTTTCTGTCTCCATGGTAACAATGAACCTCCCTGGGGGGCGACCACCACCACCACAGCAGCAGGTTGGAGATGAAGTGCCTTGCCCAAGGACACACCAACAGCAAAAGATCAAGTGAGGAGTGAGCCTGCAACCCTCCAGTTACAGGGCAGTACCTTAACTGCTTTTCCACTGTCACCAGTGCCATAGGGTTACTGTTACCATGGAAACAGAGGTGGTTACTTAAACTTGAGATAACCTGGTGAGGACTCCGGTCCGGTGCTGCAGAGGTGTTTTCTGGGTTTGTTCAGAACCACTGACCCGTTTTGGACTGTGCTGATTTCTGATGTGTACCCGTCTGAACTTTGTTGCCACACAGACAGTTTTATTGTTATTTTGTTGTTGTTGTTTTTTTTGTGTTTCTCTAGGCCACAGTTTAGGTTACGGCTTTGTTAACTTTGTTAACCATAGTGATGCAGAGAGGGCTATCAGTACCCTCAATGGCCTGAGGCTACAGTCTAAAACTATCAAGGTAACGTGCTCCAGGAGCTCTTTGACTTTCCTGTTTCTACTGCTAGATGTGTTGTGTTCCTGGACAGTAGGGGGCGCTCTCGACTGGCAGATAAAGGTATTTTAAATCTGATGGGTTTTTCTTAGTTTGCCACAATGTAAATCCATGAAATGTTTTTTATTTATTTATTTTTTTTAACAATTAATGCTTTTATTTTGAAAAGTGATCTGAAGCCATTGGAATGTTTTTGTTTTGTTTTGACTTTTATTCTGTTTAAATTACATCTGGATAAATGTAAGCTTTATTTTTAAAATCTTGGTTTTTATTTGCAGACTGAATGTAAAACTATTTTTGTGTTGAATAACTTCTCTGTAATGTGAAAGCTTTTATTTTTGGTCTGAACATGAAAACCTGAAGACTTCCTGTGTCTCTCCTGCAGGTTTCGTTTGCACGACCAAGTTCAGACATGATCAAGGATGCAAACCTGTACATCAGCAGTTTGCCCAGAACTGTGAGTCAGCAGGACCTGGAAGACATGTTTGCTCCTTTTGGACGCATCATCAACTCAAGAGTTTTGGTGGACCAGGCTTCAGGTAACCTTTGCTCCAGTTTCGGAGACTTGACACGTTAGACCAGTGGTGCTCACTCCTGGTCCTGGAGAGCCGGTATCCAGCTTGTTTTCCTTGTTTCCCTACTCCAACATACTTAAATCAATGGTTGAATCACTGGTGAAGCAGCTCACCAAGCTCTTCAGAAGCCTGATAATGACCTGCTGATTGAATCAGGTGTGCTGAAGCAAAGTTGAAACTAAAACATGCGGCCCTCCAGGTCCAGGAGTACCGCTGCATTACACCTTTACCTCCGGAGCCTGGTCTTGAGACAGTAGACTGGTGTAGGGCTTAAATGGACCCTTGAATGGTTTGAATGAAATTCCTCAAATCATTTTACACGGATCCACAGCTTTGTTGGATGTGCGCTCTACAGTCTGCACACGTTCTCCTGGAGAACAACGTGGTCACCTGGAGGCGGTGGAGGAAGGTAGAAAAACCAGCAAAGACAAACGCTGCCGTTTGGGATCTTATTATAATACCAACCCAAAGCAGCAGCAGCTCAGGACGTATAGCGGGATGCCCAGTTAGTGGAAGGTTGCAGGTTCAATCCCGGCTCTGACCAGACATTGCTGCTGTTGTGTCCTTGGGCAAGACACTTAACCCGCCTTACCTGCTGGCGGTGGTCGGAGAGACTGGTGGTGCCTGTGGCAGTGTGAACCAGTGACTGTGTTGTAAAGTGCTTTGGGGGGCTGTGGAACCCTACAGAGGTGCTATACAAACACAGACGGTGTACCATGAAGGAAATGTAGGTCAGGTTCTTCTCCATAAAGAGTTTATTAATGTAAATATCAGCTTGGAACGAGGGAAAACCAGTTTAACACGTTACAAATAATAGTTTAGTTTTCATATATTTGTTTCTCGTAGCTGCAGCCCTAGACCGTGTTTGACTCGCTGTCCGGTTCTGGTCCAATGTCCCGTTGTCCAGGTCTATCTCGAGGCGTTGCCTTCATTCGCTTCGATAAGCGAGCTGAGGCTGAGGACGCCATCAAGCACCTGAACGGACACGTGCCCCCTGGCAGCTCTGAGCCAATCATTGTTAAATTTGCAGCCAATCCCAATCAAGGCAGGAACTCTCCGATGATGTCACAGGCATACCACGGCCAATCACGTCGCTTTGGAGGTCCGGTCCATCACCAGGCACACAGGTTCAGGTGGGTGACGTACTCAGCAGCCCTGGCAACTGTTTGTTTTAGTAATCAGATTACTAATGTGAGGTTGCAGCTCTGATTGATCTTTGTGCTCTTGGCTCCAGGTTTTCACCAATGAGTGTTGACCATATGAGTGAAGGGGGAGGAGCTTCTGGGAACTCCTCTCCTGGTTGGTGCATCTTCATCTACAACCTGGGTCAGGAGGCAGATGAGGCCATGCTGTGGCAGATGTTTGGGCCGTTCGGTGCCGTCGTCAACGTGAAGGTGATCCGAGACTTCAACACCACCAAGTGCAAAGGCTTTGGCTTCGTTACCATGGCGAACTACGAGGAGGCTGCCATGGCAATCCACAGCCTGAATGGGTACCGGCTGGACGACAGAGTCCTCCAAGTGTCCTTCAAAACCAACAAAGGACACAAGTAAGGGGGGTGGGGGGGTTGCCAGTGAGTGGGTGGAGCTTATATATTTGAAATAGTTTTTTGGCTCTTTTTTTATTTCATCTGTTGCATAACTGAAGACTTTTCTGTGGACAGCAGTCGTCGGTGGACTGTCCCGACCTCCAGTGTTTGACTTCAGCAGCCTTTCATCACCACGGGTGTAGAGCGTTAGGTTTTAAATTCCTGTAGAAGTTGTGCCATGGTGATGCCGGGTGGAGAACAACCCTTTTAAACCACCATGTACGCTTGTCTGACTGTTATTCTGTAATAAATGTGCTCATGGTGAACGAGTCCTGTTCTCCTCTACCCCAGCTGTGTGTGTGATGCAGAACACAAGTCACTGATCACCTGATTAACTGTTTTTTATATTTTATTTCCAACTAAACATTGACAAGCCACGCCTCCTCGTGGGCAGCTGCTAATATATTGCACAACCAATCATTTTGCTCAGCTGCTGTCAGTCTGAGGATAATGGATAAGGCAACCAATCCAGTCAGTCCAAGCGCCCCGGTGCTCCAACACACACTTCCTGTTCTCCAGGAACGTTTCCCTCCAGGCAGAGCTGTCAGTCTGTCAGAACAATGGGTGAACAGACTGCACCAGAACCAAACTGCTGATGTGTCCAGTCTGCTCTATCACACGTCTCCATCAGCTGACAGACTGAGGCTCCAGCTCATACTGGGGGGGCGGAGTCAGAGGCACAGTTGCATTCTCAGGAAGCTCTCAAGTGCGCAGAGCTCTCCTGCTGCTCGGACGTTCTGCACTCACAGTCTGCAGCTGTAGCCTGAGGCGCAAGGCTTTTAGAGGGAACACAGTCTGAAAGCTCCGGCTGTTGCAGGGTGGCAACTGTCACACTTCCTTCTGGTGCTGCTGCTCCTGCTGGGGGGGCTGCTGCTCCTGCTGGGGGGGCTGTCCCTGCTCCCATCCAGAACTCCGCACTGATGTCTGCTCCTGCGGAGCCCTGACCCTCACTTCCTCCAGGCTCCATGGAGGAAGTCAGAGCATCTGTGATTATAGTAGTTGTCTGAGTGACCCAGTTTAGCTCCGCCCTCACTTCTCCTGCCCCCTCCCCTACTGAAGATGGGAGGGGCTCAGCCGGCAGTTCAAGGGGGTCGGTGCCAGTGGATCCTGGCTGGCTGGTTGTAGCAGGTCCTGTACCTACAGTAGCTGTACTGCTGTTGTTATTGAGGTTATCCTGCAAAGCTGTTTGGTTCTGACCCACCTGCTGGTTCTGCAGCAGCATCTCCTGGATTCGAATCTGCTGCAGAATAGCAGGAAGCTCATAGTGGTGAAAGAAGTAGATCATGGAGTGCTGCAGAAGAACAAGCAGAGAAATAAATCAAATATTGCTTTAGAGCTGAGGAGGGCGGAGTTTAGAGGCCAAGGCCGGTTCTGACCTGGATAAAGAGCCAGGATGTGACCAGAGCAAGGCTGCTGTACTGCCCGTTGAAGCGGTAGTGGTAGGCGTAGAAGGCAAAGTGGTACAGATAGAAGAACCTGCAACCCAAACAGGAGGTGAGTCGCAAAACAAATCAGATTTCCTCTCAGAAAGGAAAGTGCTTAGATCAGATCTGGTTCTGAATCTGAGAATCTGGTCTCCAGAACTCCTGAAACATCAGGGACCAACCCTACCCCTAGACTTCTGTTACCTGCAGGTGCAGGTGATGATTATCATGTCAAAGTTGATTTATTTCAGCAATTCCATTTAAAAAGTCAAACTTATGTTAGATTCATCCATTACACACAGACTGATAATAAACAACTGATGACTAATAAAAATCACTAATTCAGTCTCAGAATATTGTGAAAAGGTTCAATAATAAAGATACCTGGTGCCACACTAAACAGTTACACTGACCAAAAATATAAACGCAACACTTTGTTTTTGCTCCCACTTTTCATGATCTGAACTCAAACATCTGAAACTTTCTACATACACAAAAGACCCATGCCTCAGATGTTCTGAAATGTGTGTCAGTGAGCACTTTTCCTTTACCAAGATAATCCATCCCACCTCACACGTGTGGTATATCAAGGGGCTGATGACATCATGAATAATGTACAGGTGTGCCTTCAGACTGCCCACAACAAAAGGACACCCTGACATGTGCAGGTTTATCAAACAGCACAACGCCACAGATATCACAACCTTTGAGGGAGCGTACAAATGGAATGTCGAACAGAGCGGTTGCCCGTGAAATGAATGTTCATTTCTCTACCATGAGCTGTTTTCAAAGGCATATCAAGAGATTTTAGCAGTACATCCAACCAGCCTCACACCCGCAGACCTTGTATGACCACACCAGCCCAGGACCTTCACATCCAGCATGTTCACCCTCCAGCATCGCCTGAGACCAGCCACCTGGACAGCTGCAGCAACAATCGGTTTGCATAACCAGATAATTTCTGTTAAGAAACCATCTCAGGGAAGCTCATCTGCATTCTCGTCCTCATCGGGGTCTGGACCTGACTACAGTCCGTCGTCGTAACCGACTTGAATGGCCAAACACTCACATTCGATGGCTTTTGGCCCATTGGAGAGGCATTATGTTCACAGATGAGTCTCGGTTTTCACTGTTAAGGGCAGATGGCAGACTGCGTGTGTGACGTCGCATGGGTGAGCGGTTTGCTGATGTCATCGTTGTGGAACAAGTGGCCCATGGTGGCTCGTGTTTTGGAACCCCTCTGTTGATTTGTACTATTGGAACAGTCCACCGCTGTGGTTAAACTAGACCAAGCCCTCTGGAATTCCAAGAAATCGAAGGTTGCACCTCCTCGACCGATGCTACAGATCCTCACACTTCTCCTGCAGGTCGGATATCTCCTTCCTTAGCTCCCCCACTGTATTACGAAAAGCTTGTAAGACCAGGTGGACAATCCGCCCTCCTCCTCCGTTACGCTCACTCTGACTTTCTCAATGTCCGAGCGGAGTGCCACAGCAGAGTTCTGTAGCTCAGTGTTCAGTTCAATTCAAGTTTATTTATAAAACGCCAAATCACGACAAGAGTCGTCTCAAGGCACTTCACATAGTAAACATTCCAATCCAGGTCAGTTCATTAAGCCAATCAGAAATAATGTTTCCTATATAAGGAACCCAGCAAATTGCATCAAGTCACTGACTAGTGTCAGTGACTATACAGCAATCCTCATACCAAGCAAGCATAAAGTGACAGTGGAGAGGAAAACTCCCTTTTAACAGGAAGAAACCTCCAGAGAATCCTGGCTCAGTATAAGCAGCCATCCTCCACGACTCACTGGGGATGGAGAAGACAGAGCAGACACACACACACACACACACACACACACACACACACACACACGACAAAGTAATGTGTCTATAGTTATATTGTGATTTCTTAGTAAATATTCTATTTGGTGAGAGATAAACTATTGTATTTTCTAACCACGAATCTGGGGCTATATTGTGGTCCCCTCCCAATCTCGTATCAGTAAGGCGTTTCCTGTTTCAGTGTTGCACTACGTGTAGCTGTTTGGTGTTTGGGGCTCGCTAAAACTGATTTAATTTCTCTGTACTTGGATATCTCTGAGTTATTGTAGCACAAAAGCACGCTAAAACACACATTTTCTGTTGTTCCACCTAGCATTTAGGGAACCATTTGAGTTTGCACGCAGTTTATTTGGTATTGAACGGATTGCTCGTGCAGTTAGCTTAGCCTCAGCTTTGCTATGGCTACTTCTGTCTCTGCTTCTCCGTCTCCTATCTCTTGCTCTCTGTGTCAGATGTTTAGTTACGCCTCTGCCTCCTTTAGTGATAATGGTACGTGTAATAAATGTAGCATTTTTGTAGCTTTGGAGGCGAGGGTGTCGGGATTGGAGTCCCGGCTCCGCGCTGTTGAAAAACCCGTAAACAGCCGTAGCTACTTAGCTAGCGCGGAGCTAACTAGCTCAGAACCACCCCGTAGCGATCCTCCAGCAGAACCCGAGCAGCCGGGACCTCAGGCCAGCTGGGTGACGGTATGCAGGAAGCATAGAACCCAGCCCGTGGGCCACCACCAACCCGTCCACGTTTCTAATAGATTTCTCCCCCTCAGTGACGCACCCACTGACAAGCCGACTCTGATCATTGGCAGCTCCATAGTCAGAAACGTGGCATTAGAGACTCCAGCAACCATAGTTAAATGTTTACCTGGGGCCAGAGCGGGCGACATTAAATCTTATCTGAAACTGCTGGCTAAGGATAAGCGTAAATACAGTAAGATTGTTATTCACGCTGGCGGTAACGACACCCGGTTACGCCAATCGGAGGTCACTAAAATTAATGTTGCTTCGGTGTGTAAGTTTGCCAAAACAATGTCGGACTCCGTAATTTTCTCTGGCCCCCTGCCTGATCGGACCAGTGACGACATGTTTAGCTGCATGCTGTCCTTCAACCGCTGGCTGTCTAGGTGGTGTCCTGAAAACAACGTGGGCTACATTGATAATTGGAAAACTTTTTGGGGAAAACCTGGTCTGATGCGGAGAGACGGCATCCATCCCTCTTTGGATGGTGCAGCTCTTCTTTCTAGGAACATGGCCAGTTTTATTAGTCCTCCATGACAACCCAGGGTCCAGACCAGGAAGCAGAGTCGTAGTTTAACCCACCCCTCTGCAGCTTCTGTACTGTTACCCACCCACTACCCCATAGAGACAGTGTCCTGCCCACGGCCAAAACCACACAGATTAAATATCAGGCTTAATAAAGCAAATCATGGAAATCTCAAATATTAGAACAAATTCAACTGAGCAGAAAACTAGAAAAATTAAATGTGGGTTGTTGAACATTAGATCCATTTTTTCTAAGACTTTGTTAGTTAATGAGTTGATTTGTGATAATCAGATCTCTTTGCTCTCTCTCACAGAATCCTGGCTGCAGCAAGAGGACTATGTTAGCTTAAACGAGTCGACTCCTTCAAATTATTTAAATCATCATATTGCTCAAAGTACGGGGCGAGGAGGAGGAGTAGCAACCATTTTTCATTCGGACTCATTAATCAGTCCCTTACCAATTAATAGCTACAGTTCATTCGAACATCTTATTCTTAGTTTTCCTAATCCAGATTACAAAACTGTAAAACCACTCTTGTTTGTAGTTTTATATCGTCCGCCAGGCCCTTACTCTGAGTTTTTGGATCAGATCTCAGATTTTTTATCTGGTTTGGTGCTAAATACTGATAAGGTCATTGTAGTGGGGGATTTTAATATTCATGTGGACATTGAAAATGATAGCCTCAATGTAGCCTCAATGTAATATCTTAGACTCAATTGGTTTTACTCAAAGAATACATAGCTCCACCCACTCCTTCCATCATACATTAGACTTTGTGCTGACTTATGGCATAGAGTGTGAGGAAATAACGATCTTTCCACATAATCCAGTCCTCTCGGACCACTTTCTGATAACCTTTGAGTTTTTTATAACTGAGTTTTCGAGACATGAAAGTAAATTTCACTATAGTCGGTCTCTATCTGACAACGCTGTTGCGTCTTTTAATCAACTGTTCCATCTTTACTGTCCTCAGCATCTCAGAGGAACGTAGCAGAGGGCAATATTCTCAGTTGTAGCCCCTCACAAATTGATGCCTTAGTTCATCATGTTAATTCCTCTTTACGTGTGGCATTAGATGATGTTGCCCCTTTAAAAAAGAAGGTAATTAGGGACAGGAAGTTGGCTCCCTGGTTTAATTCTCATTTACGAGCCTTAAAACAAAACTAAGAAATTGGAGAGAACATGGCGCTCTACGCACCATGAGGAGGCCTACCTATCCTGGAAAAATAGTCTTGTGCTTTATAAAAATAAGCTTCGACAAACTAGAACTGCTTATTTTTCAGCACTAATTGAGGAGAATAAGCATAATCCTAAATCTTTAGCATCCTCCCTAATGCGATTTCTTCTTCCTCAGTAAGTGAGGCAGCTTCAGAGGTGACTGTAGAACCTCATCTGTGCTTGAACCGTTTTGATCCAGTTGAGCTTTCAGAGTTATCAAAAATATTAGCTTCATCTAAACCTTCAACTTGCATTTTGGATCCAATCCCAACCAAATTATTTAAAGATGTATTTCCTTTGGTTACTGCCCCCATTCTAGATACAATCAATCTATCCTTAGTAAATGGGTATGTACCACAAGATTTTAAGGTTGCTGTAATCAAACCTTCACTTAAGAAGCCTTCTCTGGATCCAGATGACCCAATGAATTATGGACCAATATCTAACCTTCCATTTTTATCCAAAGTCCTGGAGAAAATAGTGGCCATCCAAGTATGTGAGCATTTAAACACTAATGCTCTGTTTGAGGAATTTCAGTCTGGTTTTAGAGAGTATCACAGCACTGAAGCTGCATTAGTGAGAGTTACAAATGATATTCTCATGGCCTCAGATAAGAATCTTGTGTCTGTTCTAGTCTTGTTAGATCTCAGTGCTGCCTTTGACACAGTTGATCACAATGTTCTTTTAGAAAGACTTGAACATGTTGTAGGGATCAAAGGAACAGCGTTAGGCTGGTTTAAATCCTACCTGTCTGACAGATTTCATTTTGTAAATGTACATGACAAATCTTCTTCATACTCCAGGGTTACTTGTGGAGTACCACAGGGTTCAGTGCTTGGACCAATTCTTTTCACTATATATATGATCCCAATTGGTAAAATCATTAGACAGCATGGGATAAACTCCCACTGTTA